CTAAAAATGAATATGAATCACTAAATTACAACTGTGAATGCAGGCCACTAATAATAATAACTAATGTTCATTAACTAGTGAACCAAGAAAAACTAATTAGCTTGTTTAAAAAAATTGTGCTAGCACTCAAAAAACAACAGGTGGCTAGAATCGATCTCTCGATCCAAAGAGGTTGCACCAGCTTGCGCATGGTATAGGCTAAGTTGTCTTGGATGTTTGTCATTGGACAGAATCCTAACAATAGTAATAATTTTGATATAAAAAATGCAATTGAATTGAAAGAAATGATTAAAAACAACCTACCATATATAAAAGATATAGAAATCATTAGTCTAGATGCTGAATCCCTGTTCACAAATATCCTAATAGAAGAATGCATAAGAATTCTAGATAACATTTGGAAAAATATAAAAAATGAAACAATAATCGAAGATAAAAAAAATCTTAGAAGGTATTAATTTACGCACTAAATTTAACTATTTTACATATAACAATAATTACTATAAACTACTCTGGGGAGTCAGGATGGGAAATATAATTTTGGCTAATCTAAGTGGAATTTTCTTAAAAAAACTTATCACAACACAATTGACAAAACTAAACCAAAAACGTTTACTGATCAAAAACTATAAACCTAGTCATAAATACTGTTACAAGGAAATATAAACAGACTTCAACAGAAAAATTAATTATGTCAAAAACTTTATTAGAAAATAAAATGTATATCTATAGAGAGTAAAACAAAAAAAAAAAAATTCTCAAAATGTCTCCCTTTTACCTTGACACAGGCCTTTAATCTCCATGGTCAGTCATCAATAGCAGCACACAGCAGTTCTTGAGGAAAGCGATCAACTGCTCGAACCAGAGATTGTTTGAGGCTTTCCAAGTTAGGGTGTGTTCTGTGGCATGCCATCCTCTCCAGTTCGGACCAAAGCCGATAATCTAGTGGATTGAGATCAGGGATTCCTGAGGGCCAATCTGAGGCAGAGATGAACACTGGAATGTTCTTTTGCAGCCACTGCTGAGTTGACCTGGAGCGGAATTCTCCTGGAAAACCCAATGACTTCCAGCAAACAGAGTAGCATTTAGAGGCTTGACAACAGGTTCCAAAATATCGTCTAGATAGGTTTAAGTGGCTGTTTTAACTCCTTTTTCACAAAAATGGAGCTTTGTGGCGCCATCAAAGCAAATTCCCGACCTAATCATCACTGAGGAAGGGTGATGACCTCTTTCCACTCTTCCAATGACTTCCTGGGCTTCTTTAGAGCTGTGTGCGTACACACGATCATTTTGGCGATTAAATTTTTCTTCAATTGTAAAAATTTTCTCATCGCTAAACAAAATCTTTTGATGAAGATTGGTGTAACGACCAAGGAGCATTTTGCATCTATCCACTCTAATTTTTTTCAGGGAAGTGGTTAACCATTGTCCTGTCATTCTTTGAAATGCACCCATCTTAAGGTCACTTTTTATTATGCGAGACATTGATCTGACAGAGATTCCCATTTCCCGAGACATGGTTTGTTGTTTTCGAATGGAATTTCTTCTGATTCGAGCAGCCACTGCTCTCACTGCATTTGCTGTTCTCACAGAGCGGTGAAGGCCCGGCCGAGGTCTGTCACATACAGTTAGGGTCTCATAATATCTATTTATAGTGTGGTACACAAACATACGGCTGATACCCAAAGGTTTCAAAGTGTTGAAAATCTCTGACCTACATTTTCCAACTTTGTGTAAGGCGATCACAGCTATTCGGTTTTCTTTATCACCCCACTCCATGTTAACTGAGCGAAAAGAAAAATACAAACTAATTGGGATTATTATCCTGACATGTAAAGAAAATAACCTGATAGAGGTAAAGATTATTTAAATAATACCCAAGGATGTAAACAAAGTTCAACTTTTGTAACAGTATTTATGGCAGAACTAGGTAGATGACCTGTTTTTAATAATAAAGAAAGACTCAGAAAATGAAATATTAAAATGTTTTAACCAATACAATAAAATAATCAGATTCACAATGAAAAAATCAATAAATGATAAACTCAGATTTCTGGACATGGACATATTTTTAGATGAAGGACAGTTACTCACCAAATGGACCAAAAAAAAAAAAAAAAAGTAGTAACAGAATTCTAAATTACATACATATATACCTGAACTTACAAACAAAATTAAGGACATTTTTAAAAATTATGACTTACCAGAAATCAAACTTAGACAGTTCAATAACAAAAAACTAAGCAAATATATTACCAACACAACAGATAAAAAAAATTAAATTTATAAATAAAACTTTCAAAATTTACATTGGTGAAACATGTAAACAACTAAAATCAAAATATCTTAACAGACCTCCAATTGCAAAAACACAAAAAACATAACCTCCACAGCATTAGCATTCCATAGTATAAAACTAAAACAGAATATCAACTTTAATAAACAAATAATAGGAACTGAACCAAAAAATAACAACAGAAAATTACTTGAAGCCATCCAAGTCACAAAAACCAATAGAATAACAGTTAACTACAAAACCGATGCAAAACATTATTCATACATTTTAAACAAAATTAGGTACTTTTTGTCTAGCGGGCCTGAAGTCTAGGACTGAAACCTCACTTCTTATTTATCTTATCTAACGTCACGTCACATAACCTCCCTCTTCTTATCCCGCCAAACCTTTGAGTTATTGCATTGTTTAGTTTTCAGTTATTCCCTTATTACGTTTACTTATTAAATTCTTTACTTTTGGCCCGTTTGTGTTTATTTTTCATTATTTTTAATTTGTGGCCCGTTTGTGTTTATTTTTCATTATTTTTAATTTGTGGCCCCTTTGTGTTTATTTTACATTTTTTTCCCATTTATTTTCATCATATTATGGATCTTCTTAGAATATGGGATTTGCCGCCTTCAGATTTTATGTTTTTTTCATTTCTATGTAAATATGTTCTTTAAATGTGTTTTTTTATTATTTCATTTTGATGTTTTATATGTACATATCTTTTTAAAGTGTTTTTTTATTATTTCATTAATATATGTGTCGTCAAATAAAAGTATTTTTTTTTGTTATTACATTTGTTTTTGAATCTGTTTACACTTTCAATAATACAATAATACGAAGATATGAAGTAGGAGAAGGCTTATCACTGCGATATGGGAGTTATCAGTGTTCAGGTTATAAACATTGGCAGATAGCAGTCAGTAGCGGCCCCCTAGACAAAAAGTACCCAAAATTAAAATATAGAAAAATTAAATCCTGTTATATAACCAACATACATACAAATATCAAAAGAAAATAGCAAATAATCAGGTACAAAGGTCAATAACAAACCCCGAGTAGCCAACAGACACCCAATTGTTAGTCCCATAATTTATTTGCTCCAGATATTTTTTTTGTATAAAAAAATGTTAAATTATGACAAATAAGAACATGCGATATTTAGGTAAATATAACAAATTTGTAACAACATTAACATTGACGGAAATCGTAACACATATTCATTTTAATAAACCTTTTTTCTAGCTATTAACTACTAATGAGGTCTATTTTCTTTTCTAACTGTTCATTATTGTTATTCCAAGGGGCATCGTCCCAGAATAAAGTTTATTTTCTATTAAAAAAATGAAAGCCAGATAGGAATAAAGTTCTGAAGATGGGAATTGTATCCCAAAACCTTAACTTAAAGTAAATTATAGCAAATACATAATTTGTTATATTTTGGAAGTTTTTATTGCCAACAACTAGATAAATTATACAGCTTCCTAACAAAAGAAGAAAAGAAGCAACCATTCCATATTTTAAAAGGAGAGTTCCGATTGTTTGTTGAGTGTTTCTATTATATCCATCAACTCGTTCATGCCCCGTAGCTTGGTCTTCATCTCTTCATCAACTTCCTCAATCAGCACCGTCAGTAGACCAGTAATGTACACAATTCGCAATCGGAACATGTTCAGTTTTTGCTAATTCCTTTTAGGCCTTCCGGGTCCAAAATATTGATTTAGATGCATTTAGCATGAAATATATTTGTACTTATGATACAGGCTAATTTAGCCTTGTCTTCTCGATACACCGATTTACTACATGTTTTACAGTTAACCATTTTAAGAAAAAATGCTACTACTTTAGGGTGTCCCAATTTAAATAGAGAGAACGAAATAAAAACAATAATAATAGCAAACCTGTTTGTTTGGGTGGAGACTGCCAGGATTAGATCGATGTTTGACTCTGCCACTTTGTTTTATTACCATTACTGTTAATATTAGTAAAATATTAACACTATAGAATTCCCCGGAAACAATACTTAATATCTGTGAAGTTCTTTTTAACAGGAATATCTAAGAATCAGATAAATAGATAGAACTATTAGATAAATATATTTAACGAGAAGTTTACGGTATAGGTCTTGATTAAACAAGATTCTCTAAAATCCTGAATAAATTGGGTTAAACTTCAAGAAGTAAAAAGTTTCATTAAAAAATTACAACTAATACCTAACACCACTTAAAAAAATCTGGAAAAAATTGAAGGTGTCAATTGGAATTAGATTATAACTACCATATAATCTAGGAAGGTCTGAATCAAGACACTGTAGAGTTAAAACAATTTTCATCCAAATTTAGAGTCAATGTTTAGAGTAATACCAGGAAAACAGTGTATGCATTATTGTAAATGTTGGAGTGGAACTTGAAAATTTCTGTTGAAAGTTCATGAGGTCCATGACAAAAGGTAATATTGAGAAATGCTTCTGATGCACAGCGATTATACAAAAAATATAAATAAAAAAAGATACTGAGGACTCAATATAATTGGGCTATTTATGGGGCACTAGAGATTTAAAACTTGGGTGATAGGGATTTTCTTGGGACGGTGTATGCATGTGTAAGTTGGCAGCCATTTATCTCAATCGGGCCACCTTATGTTAGGGCCACCTTTGAAAATATTATGAAGACAGAGTTATTAAATAGCAAAATTTCAAAATGAAATTTATAAAAATTACCTGACAGCATATTCTACATCATAGCATCTACCTTGTAACTCATGATGAAGTTTAGTTACTTCAACTCTTTTCTCAACCATAGGAGGTAAAGCCTTTCTAACATGTTCTTGGAGTCTATAAAACGCCAATGATGGTTCATTTGCAACAATATGAATGTTTTCAGAGATCCTTTCAGTGGCTGGAAAAATTGCTTGAATTACCATTTATTTACAATAATTAAAAAATTTGTAAAAATATATCACAAGTTACTCCTTACCTTTTTTAACTTTGACATCTAATTGTGAATCACCATCTTCATATTGGGTCATTAATACAACAATTCTAAGCGATATATAACTACCAAAGAAAGAGCATCTACTCATGAAATAATTAACAAGATTAAATACCAGCAGTATCGCTCAAGAACGAGCCCTTTTAACAATGAGGTCACAAGCAGCGTTTCCACCATATTTGTTTTTTTTTAATTTCTCTTTTGGATAGTAAGATTTTGCCTATTTTTTCAGCAAACAGCTCCTTTTTGTAAATTAGCAGAATTACCATCAAAACAACTAAAATATGTGTACATATTTATACATGCCATACAAGACTGATGAATATATTTTTTGAATTCCGCTATCATAAGGTACATTTAGATATTTGCAAACAGTGGACAAGCAAATATGTGAAATGGTTGTTTCTAACCTAAAACAGCTGAAACGTCGGTTTATATAAGTAAACATAGTTGTTACGAAGTTTGAAACAATTGAAAGCAATTTTGTTCCATTTTGCAAGGCGCCTGAAATTGCTCAAAAAACTAGATAGACCCTATTTTTAACAAAGGTTTTAACTTCTGCAGGAGCAGGTCAAACCATATGATTTAATTTAATTTGATAAACAATCTATATCATATGTAAATAAAATAATGTGTTTTTTTATGGTTATAAAAAATAATGTTTTGTGGTTAAAATAAATTTTGTTGATTAGCAAAATCTATAACTTTCTTTAAGATATTTATTAAAGTTAATCAATCTCAACTTAACCCATAATACTAATAAAACGACCAGTAATACTTCTAAAAACAGTTTTTAGATCTTGCTCCAACTGGACACCCCGGAAGTTATTGAGGATTTAATACTCGGGAACGTTGAATATAGAGTGACTACCATTAAATTTTATTTATTTAATTTTTTTTAACTCACGTATTCGAGTTTCCATCGACCCAGTTTTTACTAAATAACATCTAATTGTCTATAGTGCTTAAATTATAAACATCACGAGTTTAATAGCCAAAAAAAAAATATTCAGATTTTATAAAATAACAATAATTGTGAGGGGGGCCTATATTGGAGGATTGGACCTGCGAACTATGACCGGTGGCAACACTGAGCTGAGAAAACCGGAGGAAGGTTCGGAAAATGGTGAGAGCTAGCACGAGTAGATGTCTCCCATGTTAGCACTGTATTCTGCGATAAAGAAGCCTATAGAAGATACACCTTTGTTAGGATAAATCCCCACGAGCAGGTAACACATTTACTGATACCTTTCATAAGCAAACTGAACTACCTTGTGTAGTTCAGTAATGAAGGGTCATTAACAATATCGATTTCATATCGACCTTATGAATCGATTTACATAGAGAAATGATATAGATGTTACTTACTTGTCAGTAGGGGTATCTTGCTTGGACGCCAAGGAATAGGATACCTTCTGGAGGCTGACATCTGGTGGAGAGTTAAATTATTTATTGGTTGCGTTAATAGTTACCATATTTATTTCTCGAGCCAACTATTAAATAGCATTATATGGAAATTTATTTAGCTAGCATGCGCATGTAATTGTTATTCTTGTATTTATATGTACATTTTTTTTTGGTAGATTATTTTATTATATTTAGAGTTCTATTATATTTATTGTTATTAAATGTAATTAAATTAGTGTAGTTAGTAAGTTAGATTATATCGTTCCATGCATGTTAAACATAATATACTCGTAAATGATCACCAATCATTTATTATTTTCCTGGCACCCGTCTTACAATAATAAAATTACTGTGCTCTAAAAGTATTCTAACTGATTTTTCCTGCTGCTGACCACGTAATTAATGGGACTTTTTGAGATTTTAAAGCTGTCAGATTCGTATAAAACTTCCAAAATTTTGTCTGACTTCATTAAATCTGTTACCTAAAAAGTGGTCTGAAATTATTCCATCAGTTTTTTTTTGCCTGCTGCTGATCACGTAATCTTTGGCAGTTTTTGTGATTTTTGAAATTCTACCACAGCCAAACGCTTCCAGTTAGCCAATAATTTACTTATTTATATCTCATACGTAAACTATTGGCTTCGATAAATAGAAAGAAAAAAGAAATATCAGGGATTAGATTAATTTTAAATATAACAAACTGTAGAGTTTTTATCACAGAAGGTTATATAACAGAATGTTTATAACATATGTTTATTTTTAAATGAAAGAAATAATATTAAATGTTATAAGTCTTGTCCGTCTCACGCCGGACCTTATAGTCCGGGATCTACAGAAGATATACGTGGTCAGCGGCAGAAGGTTTGAAAATTGAAGACAGTAGAGATTATAACCCTAATGCCAAAACCCCTCGAGTCAGACGGCTAACTGGAAGCGTTTGGCAATGGCAGAACTTCAAAAACTGCCAAAAATTACGTGATCAGCATCCGGCAAAAAAAAAAAAAAAAATTGGAATAATTTCAGACCACTTTTTAGGTAACATATTTAATAAAGTCAGACAAAATCTTGGAAGCTTTATACGAATCTGACAGCTTTAGAATCTCAAAAAATCCCATAAATTACGTTGTCAGCAGTAGGAGAAATCAGAATACTTTCAGAGCACGGTAATTTTATTATTGTTATTTTCTAAAATCTGAATAATTTTTTTTGGAAGCTTTTCACGAATTCGACATGCAAATTTGAAAAATTTACCAAAAAATATGCGATCAGCACCAGGTATAATACAGTTGCAATAGTTTTATACCAGTTAGTATGTAACTAACTTAATAAAATATGACAACATTTCGAGAACTTTTCACGAATTTGAGAATCAAATAGCTTCAACCTATTTTATAGGAATCTGATTTAATAAAATCTGACCAATATTTAGAAATTTTTCGAGATGGTAGCACTTATTACGTGCGGGGCGACATGACATCAAATTGGAATCCTTGGTCCATGAGTTTTTCCTGCTACCTATTTCAATCTATCTATTAGGTTTATAAAAAATGTTGATCAATTTGATAAACAAAAATCCCAAATTAATGACACACAAATCCATGTTATTATTTAACCATTAACTGTGCTATGTGTTAAGAAAATGTAGTTTTTTATTTTATATTTCATAAAATGCTAGTTATATATTTATATATTGTATATAGTATAGTTATCTATACCATCGATCATCATCGATCAATCAATCATCGATTAATAAGCAGCATCAAAGTAGTAGATCCCGGACTATTTATTCTCACCTACCAGTTTATAAATATTCTTCGTAAACTAATGTCTGAATCTTACAGGTTGGCCAAGGCCAGAGTAAAGTGTCATCAAAGTATACTATTGCACCGATAAAATTTTACACTGTTTAATAATAAGAATAAGATAAACATAACTTTTTTTGTTTAACATACACTTAATGCATTTCCTGTGTTGTTTCATTGAACTGTGGTTACGTTATACACTTTAAACGAAACAAAGGTTAAACAGCACAAAAAAAAAATCTGCAATAATACATAAATAAAAAAACTCCTCTCCCACACTGAGGACATTCCAGCCATCTATTGTTATTTATTATTTTAAAAATCTGAAAAAATAAAAAAAGTCGAGGCCCGGGGAGGTAAATCTCAAATTCGATATGATTATCATAGAAAGCGCCCCCCAAAACATAAGAGTCGACCCTGATATCGATTTAATCCAAAAAGTTAAAAAAAATAGAGGACTGGGGTCCCAATCTCGAATTCGATATCATTTTCATAAAAAGCGCCTACCAAAACATAAGAGTCGACCCTGATATCGATTTAATCCAAAAATGTCAAAAAAGTCAAGGCCCGGGGGCCCAATCTCGAATTCGATATCATTTTCATAAAAAGAGCACCCCAAAACATAAGAGTCGAAGCTGATATCGATTTAATCAAAAAGTTAAAAAAAGTCGAGGCCCGGGGGCCCAATCTCGAATTCGATATCATTTTCATAAAAGGCGCCCACCAAAACAAAAGAGTCGACCCTGATATCGATTTAATCCAAAAAGTTAATAAAAGTCGAGGCCCGGGGGCCCAATCGCGAATTAGATATCATTTTTTTAAAAAGTGCCCCCCAAAACATAGGACTCGACCCTGATATCGATTTAATCCAAAAAGTTAAAAAAAGTCAAAGCCCGGTGGCCCAAGCTCGAATTCGATACCATTTTCATCCAAAGCGCCCCCCAAAACATAAGAGTCGACGCTGATATCGATCTAATCCAAAAAGTTAAAAAAAGTCGAGGCCCGTGGGCCCAATCTCGGAATTCGATACCAGTTTCATAAAAAGCGCCCACCAAAACATAAGCGTCGACCCGGATATCGATTTATTCCAAAAAGTTAAAAAAAGTCGAGGCCCGGGGGCCCAATCTTAAATTCGATATCATTTTCATGAAAAGGGCCCCCCAAAACATAAGAGTCGACGCTGATATCGATCTAATCCAAAAAGTTAAAAAAAGTCGAGGCCCGTGGGCCCAATCTCGGAATTCGATACCAGTTTCATAAAAAGCGCCCACCAAAACATAAGCGTCGACCCGGATATCGATTTAATCCAAAAAAATAAAAAAAGTCGAGGCCCGGGGGCCCAATCTCGAATTCGATACCATTTTCATAAAAAGGGCCCCCCAATACATAAGAGTCAATCTTGATATCGATTTACTCCAAAAAGTTAATAAAAGTCGAGGCCCGGGGGCCCAATCGCGAATTAGATATCATTTTCTTAAAAAGTGCCCCCCAAAACATAGGACTCGACCCTGATATCGATTTAATCCAAAAAGTTAAAAAAAGTCAAAGCCCGGTGGCCCAAGCTCGAATTCGATACCATTTTCATACAAAGCGCCCCCCAAAACATAAGAGTCGACGCTGATATCGATCTAATCCAAAAAGTTATAAAAAGTCGAGGCCCGTGGGCCCAATCTCGGAATTCGATACCAGTTTCATAAAAAGCGCCCACCAAAACATAAGCGTCGACCCGGATATCGATTTATTCCAAAAAGTTAAAAAAAGTCGAGGCCCGGGGGCCCAATCTTAAATTCGATATCATTTTCATGAAAAGGGCCCCCCAAAACATAAGAGACGACGCTGATATCGATCTAATCCAAAAAGTTAAAAAAAGTCGAGGCCAGGGGTCCCAATCTCGGAATTCGATATCAGTTTCATAAAAAGCCCCCCCCCCCCAAAACATAATAACTGACCCTGATATCGATTTAATCCAAAAATTAGTAAAGGTGA